AGGAGAAAAAGAGACACACTCTGCAGGTGTAAGCATAGGGCTCAGAATGCACTCAAGGAATGATTTATGTTATTGACTTACATGCCTTGAAAAAAATGCAACACTTCTGCATAAAAAAGAGAACTGAATTAATAAACAGAGAGGATGAAAACATCTTTATATCTGTAAACCTGACTGAAAAGGCAAACTTCAACTATACTGTTCTACATCAACACGTTAGATTTATTTTTGAGAGAGAGTACATTTACATTCAAGAAAATAATTTCAGGTGTTAACGAAATCTGGCCCAGTTTAGTACTGTCTTACATAACATAATGGTGGCTTTCAAGAAACAGCTCGTTGAAATGTCAAAATAACATCAGAAAAATATTTTCATTATTTTAAACACAGCCAAAAGCACAAAGCACATTTACTACCACAGGAATCTGTTTGTATTGTTTCCCAGCACAACTATACCTTTTAAAATGTTTGACCCAGGACCTACCAGGAAAATGAAACAATCTGGTTCCTAATCACAAAGCAGTCCCTCTTGCAGAGTCACCTTACTCTATGGAGGTGCATGCAATAACATTCCAGGCTAATTTCAAATTCACCCCCATGCAGGAGCATCAGCTCTGCTGTTCCTCTCCTTCTCTATGACAGCCCACACCAAAGCTGCAGCTCAGCTTTTGCTTATCAGGCACGGCACTGAGATTCTGTCACAGATTCCCTTGAGCTGAGCAAAGCACAGCCTTTCTCAAAATTTGCTCATGTTTCTGGAGTGACTTCCAAGCAGCGGGAGCAGTAATAACCCACCACAAAATGAAATCTTGCAGGATAGATGCAAGACTACAGCCCAGGCAGGTACACCAGTACCAGCCTCTTGCATGTCTTTATGAGAGAAAGCCACGCACTATGGGAAGAAACAGGCATGTTTTTTATGATCTACAGGTACCACAACATCCTTCAAGGCCTGAGGATGCAGACATCAGGGAACATCTCTAAAAAATGGAAGGAAAAGCAAATCAGCACACGTGACTGTACCTGCGCAGCAATAATGCTGGGCTGAGGGAGATGGGATTGCCTTCTTGTCTTAGACATGGGGGGTCAGAACTGAGTCTCCAGCTTCCACACAAAGATGAGTAATCCCTGGGCACCTGCAACACTTCTGCCAGCTCTCTGACTTCTTTGTGAAGTACTGAGAAGTAGGTGGCCGTGATAGTTTGGAAACTGTGCACACCTAGGAGCTATCAACTGTGGCAAAGCAATTAGTTTTGCCATGGGTGGTGTCTGAGATGACAGCACTTCCCTTGGATTTAATTGCAGTGTGGTTTCCTAGGTTCCCAAACACCAGTACAGCTTCTAATGACATGCATATGGATTTCTTCTTCAAAATGAGGAAATGCCTATCCATCCCATGCTCCTCTTTGACCTGTCAGCCTTGTACATGCCAGTTGATTCCCAGTCAGAGGAGGGGAATCTCAGTGTGGCAGAAGGCTGTGTTTTACTGCTTGAGCTCTAAAAACTCTGCCTTTCAATCAGGCCACTGTTTTGCTTAATTCTTTGCACTTCACGTGCATTCCTATGCTCAATTACACGTGCTTTGCTTCCAGTGAACTTTTACATGTGGGTTAAAAGGTTTTCACTCTTGATTACTGTGACTGTTTAGTTCCAGAAGCATTTCCTGAGCTCTTTGTTGCATCTCCCCTCTCTGGCTACTTCAGGGTAATAGAGCATCACTTCACAGACTATGGGAACCACTTCCTGCATTCACCCAAGATTTAGTAGAAGTGCCACAGTCTCCCTCTTCCATACAGAGTGGGTTTTAAACACAGACTTAAAGGGGTCAACAAGCAAAGGGCTCTACTGAAAGTGCAACAAGAAAAAGATAACAAAGGCTGTCTGGACTGCAAGCAAGAGAGATTCTTTGAAGCCAGGATGCTCCAGCCAAGATTTAATAAAACAACAAAAGGAAAGAGAAAAACTAACTGAACCAAGATAAAGGGCAGCATCACAAACCGACTGTTCTGACCTGCCAAAAGCACTGAAGAACAAAGAAAATGAAAATATAAGGCTGCTCAAAACAAACAGGAATGAAGTGCAATACAAAGCTACACACAAAGTGCAAGGCACATTAGGGCCAATCCCAAAAGTGTGGGAAAGTAGAGGCTGTGTTTATCACAGTATCTCCTGTGTGCATTTTTATCCTTTCCCCATCTTTTGATGCGTGTGGGGCAGTGCAGAGTGGGTGAGGCTGACGTTTCCCTTCCTGAGCTAACAAGGAGCCTACTGCAGGGCATGGCAAGGGCAGGCAGCCCTGCGTGCTCCTGAGGATTGAGCTCAGGCTGCAGGGAGCACAAAGATGGAGTGTCACAGCAGTCCTGCACTCAGTGACAGCTCATATACCAAGCTCATCCATGCTGCGGTGTGTCCAAGTGCTAACACCAACACCACTGCATACAGCTGCCCAGAACCTCAGCAGGGAATGTCTTTGGACCAGGCTGGTCACTCACCTCCTTTTCCAGTCTGTCACAGTGTAAGATTACACAGCCAGGCTCAGGGAGAAAAAACAATCTCAAAGCATTAGAAACCCTTTGTGGCTGGTACCCACTGTGGACTGCTTGGCTGTTTCCTTATCAGCTTTGAGTCCTGCTTTCATGGACATCTTGGCCAAACCCCAGAGTCCTCCAGCCTGGCAAACAGCACTGGGGCAGGTAATGTTCCTCATGCTGAGGCTGAAGTAATTAATTCCTATGAACACCTCAGGCTAAAAATCAGGGTGCCAGCTTCTGCTGTGGTGGATGTGATAGGTCTAACATGACTGGATAAAAGAAAATTAGGGAATAAGGGGAAGTAATAATAACTTCATTGAACAGCAGGTGCCCCAGAGCTTTCATGTAGCAGGGCAGAAGAGAGGGGAGTAAAAATTATCAGACTGAGGATGTTTGCTGACCTCCTTGCTGCTTGCAGGAGTGTGAGCAGATATCTGAAGGACCATGAGAGCTGGATAAAATACAAGAGGAAGGGCAGATTTATGGCTGGATCTGATGGTGGAAGAATAAATGGGTCTAATTCACACATACCCTTGCTGGGATCCCTTTGCAACATGAATTTTGAGTATTTTCTGTGGGATTTCAGCTGCCAGAGAATCTGTCCCAGCTGTGACATGCCAGGTAAAGTTGTCAGCAGTGACAGGTAAAAGAAAACTCTTCTTTTAGTGCCTGAACTTGAGCCAGTTCAATCACAAAGTGGTTGAGGGTGAATAAATACAGGACAGCATTACAGTATTTTCACAACCTCTTTTCTGACTATAATTTCACTATTAGGAAGTTTGTTGGCACCTATTGGAGGAATAAGTGCGTAGGGAGGCATATCTCCTTTCTCCTCTTCTGTTGTGTTGAGAAGTGGAATTAAATTATTCTCTGCACAGACAGATTGTTCCAGTAAAATAGAATTTGAAGCCACCAGGGATCCACTGAGAAGGGAAGCTTTTACACTATATGAAAAGGCAAGAGACAAAACCCTTGCCAGAACTCCTTCACTTTTTATTACCGACAGCTGCAACGCTGGATGCGTCCGGATGCCTTTTAAGTGCCAAGGGGAGTGACGAAGGTGGGATGGCATGTGAGCAGATGAAATACATGGCAGCTTCTCCCCCGACGGCAAGTTTAATTATTTGCTGTGTTGTATACACAAGAAAAAAAACACACTGATATTGGGAAATCATTCACTGTGATTCCTGTCGGGTGGATTATGAAAAACACTCGCTCTTGCTGGTCCATGGCAGAACAAGGTCTTAAAATATTCACAACCTGCTTATGCCTTTGTCACAGATGGGAGGAAAAACAAGGTAGAATATATTTCAAAGACAGAGAACATGAATACATCAAGAGAGCAAAACCAGAGGTGCTTTGCTGTATGAACTGAGATATCCAACAGAAGTGAACCAAAACAAACTTTAAGGCAAAGAAACATCTTCCTCTGTGTAGTTTCATTCCAGAGAACTTTCTAACACATCCCTTCTTGTCCTTTCTGCATTTAAAGCTCACTGGAACAGTTTTTTTTGTCTGTTCAGTACTCAACCAACAAACAGCTGCACTTCATTAGTATCAGTTTTCCTAAATCCCTCTGCTCCAGGATCCAGAAGCTTATAGGAGATTTCTGAGTGACTGTGAAGATGTGAAATGCTTTAGCTCACTAGGCATGGTTCAAAGCCATAAGTCAGAAATAAATCTTATCAGTGATCCTACAATCTGTGAAGCTACAGAATAAGAAGATGCAGACAGGTAATCTTTCTGAAGCTGCACTTTAAAAAATATTTTAAAAAAATATTAAAAAAAAAATTAAAAAATACAACTAACTGAGAAATGACAAGCATGAGCAAGGTTGTCTGGCAAGCCTTGATGTACTTGCTTAAGCTGATGTCTTGTCACTGTCAATAGTTTTTCTGCTTAATATGAACCTGGCTCCATTCTGGATTAATTTCTCTCTGCTGCTGCTAACTTCAGCACTCCTGTGAACGAGGCCTACATGAGGACTGGTAGGTTTGAAGTGCAGCAGGATGAAGAGATGCCAGCCCAAATTCCAGCTGTGCTAGAGAAAGCATGTACTGCCTTTTCTGAATGGCTCAGGGGCAGTCCTGAAGCCTACTCTGTCTTGGATGTTGCAAATATAATGCTTGTTCATGCAGTAAGATTCTTCCTCTCTGTGTTTATGTAATGCTGTTTATGTAATGCCCTATTCTTACAGCATACACACCTAATTATGAAGATTGTAATACACCATGTGATGCAATGAGGACAGGAAATGCTATGTTTTTCAAAGCACATTTTGTGGCATTCAAGCAGATAACCATATCTTTCCCCTGCACAGTGGGCATAAATAAGTATATTTTACAGAAAATAAAACCAGAGATAGTTGTTGCCTTGCTACTGGCCTAGTACCTATATTTGAAAACCTGAGTCAAACACACAAAAAAAAGCTCTGTAAATTACACAAGAAAAGAAAACATTATGACTTGCCTCGCAGGGGGAGTTCCTCAAAGGAGCTGGAAATGTTGTGCTGGTCATGACAGTCTTTGCTACTGCTGGTGCCTTGCTGGTGTTAAGGAGGAGTGCACAACCTGGATGGAAAAGAAGGAAGAAGGTCAAACTGCAGCACTCACCTTTGGGCTTCAGGATTTGTGAAACCTGCCCCAAGCCTTTGTTAGCTGGCTCCTCCCATGGTGGAATTCCAGGGAGGAGAAGGCCTTTTCCATTTCTTAGGGATGCAGCTTCCCCTACCTAACAAACATACTCAGTAACCACATGAGCCTGTCCACCTTCCCCCCACTGCCACCTTCTGTTGCTCCATGACTTTAAATTCATCCTCCTTGCAAGGCAAATAATAAAGTGTATCTTTTATGAACAAAAAGTAACTTGGAAGAAAAGAATTTATCTTGACCAAAACCAAATAAAAATACAGCTACAGCTCTTTGCTGCTTGAATAATTTCTGTAAACAAGAGGAACAAGGGCAGTATTGGGTTTTCTCTTAGCTTAAGCCTTCAACTGTTTGTATGAGAAGGATTAGATACTGGCATTTAGGTAGGAGAAACAAGTACATAGGAATTGTACATAAAAGGGCAACTCAAGGGATCATGAAGCAAAGACAAGAAAAATTAGGATGTGAGCAGGGGAAAAAACTAGCAGTACAGAAAAATAGTGAAAATAAATAGGAAAATCAGAAAGAAAAAAAGAGATCAGTATGGTAGAGGGTCAGACAGATGAACATTTGGTATGAAGTTTTTTAGAAGGGGTCACAAGACAAAAAGGGAGCAGGACAGTCTTTTGCTCAAAGCACTCAGAGTGGAAAGATGGCATCTGAGAGTAGAAATCTGGGATATGCTTCACTGGAAAACTTGCCTTGTGTTTCATTCCCTCTCCTCACCATGTGTGTATCATTTCTGCTCTCTGCTGCTTGTGCTCCACACTTACTGTTTACTCTCACATACCTTCTATGGAAGGGAAGCGCTTGTGCTCCGGGCTTCCAATCCGCCATGGAGAATGATGGGACGCAGAGGAGCCTGGCGTCCAGCCACAATCCCCTTCTTCGAATGAGCAGTAAAAGCCAGAGGGAAGCTTTCCTGCAAGAGGGAAAGGCACACAGACAGAAGAAGCCAGTGAGCTGAAGAGGAGGCTCCTGGGCTCACACAGGAGCTGCAGTGACTGTTCCAACCAGAGCACTCCCAGCTCCTCAGTCCTTTCGCGTGGAATCGAGCACGTGCCTGACCATGGGGAGGGAGGAGCAGGGGGCAACAACCCCCAGAGTGTGGCTAAGTGACTCCCCACACACCTTGACAAACCCCAGTGAGAGGACACATCTCACTACACACCATGGGGTCTCATAAATGCCTGGGCTCTCACTCTGCAGGTGTCAGCTCACTCAAGGTCACATCTTGGAGATGACTTTCCTAAGCACCGCTTCTGCAGCACCACAGGGGAAATCTTGGAGAGGGATAAATTCCCTACAAGATTCCCTCCCTTACAGTCCATGTTTCTACTCAGCCCAGCTCAGCAACATGATCTCTTCTCTCTGTGAGCACTGATGTGGCCTCAGGTAAAACACTGTATCCTTTTGTGCCTCATTTTTTTTAACCTGTGAGTCTCTTCCATGAGATGAAAGAGTACAGTTTATTTTAATCCATACTTCCAGGCTTTGAAGCCCGCTCATTCTGTCTCTAGCTTAGGATTTCAGTTTCCAGCTCCAAACAATAGAGCTCCATTAGCTTTTTGCCTTGAAATTTGCCAGTTTTAAAGCAATAGTAGCCCCATTCAAAGCAGAAGGTAATCTCATGCCTTCCATTTACTAATCTACCTACAACTGCAAGTTCTACTTCCGGGGGGTGCAAAGTATTGCTCCTTTTGCTCCAAGAAAGGAGAATGACACATGAAATCTGTTAAAAATTGAAAGATAAAAATGAAATTTCATGTGCAAACACATATCCAGGTCTGGTGTTTGCTTTTTTTTTTTTTTTTTTACTTTTAGCTGCTTGATGAAATCAGAATAAAAATTTCTTCACTTACAAGCAGTATGATAGACCACAAACTTCTAAAGCAAGAGAATCTTCTGGTCAAGTGATACCAGTAATTTCATTAGCTTCTCTATGAGAAGAAGAGGCTCTTGAACACATAATTTGTTGTGATTATTAATTTCTTTTCCCTCTGAAATTATGTATCTATAGAGAGGCTGTCAGACAATGAGGCACCAGTATTCAAACTCCAGATAATTCAGAATGTTTAAGTACCAGCAGATAGATCCCCCTAGCTGAGATTTCAGATCAATAAAATACCTGCTCACAGGACCCCAGCTTTAGCTCACACACCTCAAAAGGCAATTGACTGTCATTGGCATATGCAGGTGTTCCTTGGCGTACCCAGAGAAAACAGCTGTGGAACACCACAACTGCAGCATCCAGACCACAAACATTTGATTTTCTGAGACCCTGAATCACAACTCACTTGTCAGAGGAAAGTGAAACAAATCCTCTATCTGTAGCTTTTTAGTAGGGCTAGTTTTGGACCTGGAACCTGACATTGAGGCAAGAGCCACATTTTAGTGGTATTTTGGGCAACCATCTAAACCCATTATGAAAAAAAATCAAAACCTGTACTGAAGTCAGGGCTTTTCCAAGTTTTTCCTTTTAAAAATCTCTAAATTCATTCAGCCCTAGTCTTTAAATGTGAAGCTGTTAAGCAGAGAGTTACTTCCCTGTGTTTCACCCCTCTGCAGAACTTGATTATATTTCATTGCGCAGCCTGAGGCTGGGATACAAAGAAAATGACAAATTATAATGTGCCCTGAATTCCCACAGAAACAGCTTGGCTCGGTGTCCAACTGAATTCATGTCATGGCTATTTGCTATCTAGGATGATGTAAACAAGTCAGAGCAGCAGGAGGAGCCATCTAAGTAGCAATCCCTGCCTCAAGGAAAAGCTCACTGTCGATGAATGAGTAAGGGCATAAATAAAAAGCTATTACTTTCACAGAATATTTCATTCCCTTTCCCCAAATTAATGTTTTATGAGTTTTTAGATGTCTCATGCCCTGGATGCATTTTCTTTGCTGCTCTTTCTTACCTTGAACATGTACAGCACCTGTGATTCCATGTGTTGGTACTCCACAGAGACCTCTTTGGATACCACTTCTCTCCAACCTGTACTTCTCCATTTCATATGTTTGTGACTGAAACTCACAGCACAGACACTGCACTGATGAGGGGAAGCTGCTCTGACTTTATTGGAAAATCATGGAAGTTAGAGGGCAGGGATTACTTCTACTGAAACCTGCCATTTTGGATATTAATGCCAGTGACAGAAACCTCAGAAGATTTAAGCCTTAGTAAGATTAAGATACAACTTGTGGGTATGAGATGGAGAACAGAGTAGTCCAGTGAAACTGAAGCACCCTGAGAATGCAAGAGTCTCTCCTTTTATGTGGGTGGGCAAGCAGGAAAAAGCTGTTGAATGCTAAACTTGTTCTTTACCCTTCAGAATTAAATACCTTTCAAGAAAATTCTAAATAAGTTCTTTTTTTAAACCAGATTTTTCATCCATTAATAGTAGAGAATTAGTAACTGATACAATTTATGAAGCAGATGGAGTAATCTCTTGCTTCAAAACTAGGTGTAAATGAACCAGATACTAGAGCTTTAACTCCTGGGTGAAATTCCAAACTGGTATTATAAAGAACAAAAGCATTAAAGACTACTCTGTATGTACAGACCTTTACCAAGTTTAGGAGGAAATCTCAGAAGCCAAACAGATCAGCTACTCAATTTAAAGAATCACATGAATCTTAAACATGAGTTTGTTTCAATGATTCTTCTATGCTAGAGAAGTTGGTCAGCCAAATTCTACCAGAAATGAAGCACAAAAAGAGAAAATACTTTTCAACAGTCAGCGGAGTTATCCTTTAATGGCAGATGGCTTTGCTGAGCTCAAAACTGCCAGAGGTTAGAATTTCTGTAAGTACAGCTTTTGATAAAGAAAGGAGCAGAAGGATTAGTGTATGCAAGACAGGAACCTTAAGAGCATAGCATGGCCTGGCAACAGGTTGCTACTTCATCATTTTGCTTGCAGGAAGGCTCTGCTGGGCTGCATCTGGATAAAAACCAATCCCACAATTTCTTCACACGTTTTTGCCTGGAAAGCAAACTGGCCACTGTAAAATCGATTATCAATGCTTTTTTTGGTCACTCATCCACATTATCAGAAAATCAGACTTTAAAGGTTCCTGCTCTAGCTGCCATCTGGCCTTTGGACTGATGGGTGCATGCAGTCCTCCCACCACAGGCTGAGCCCCTCCTTTCAGGAACCAGACACTTGTCTTCCTTATCTCACCTGCTAAGGTGCTTCACATCCTTAAATATTCAATGAAGCAGAGTGGAAATTACCCTATAACCGAGTGACTATGAGATTTATTTGAAAGATAAAGAGGACATTACTTCCTGTTCCAGATAAAATTCATAAAACGTGGAAGTGCAACCTCAGGAGAGACTTGGGTAACCATTTTCTTCTGAACTAGACCAGAACTCCAGACCATAAGCTTGGAAACTCTTTATGTAAATCAGAAATATGGGTTCAAATTCCCAGAAGAACCAGTTCTGGGTTAATTGTATCCTGAGTGATTCCTGTAAGTTCTGGGTCTCTAGATAATAAATATACTACTGGAACCTCCATTATTTAAAATGTTACCATTTTTAGAATATATCCATTACTTGCTAACATGCTTGGACTGACGAGCCAATATTTTCTAAGGATGAAAGTTTTTTTCTGAATTTGTCACAGAAAGTAAAATAGTTTTGGACTAGAGAGAATTACATGCATCCCTTTTCAGTAAAGTTTTAACTTTTGCCCTGACTTGCTGCCCTGCAATGAAAGGTTATTTAACCACAATTCCAGACACTGTTAATTAAAAAGAGAAGTACAAAACTGCTAAAACATATTCACTCTTTCTGTAAAACAGAGCCCCGCGCATCTATGTTAGTAAATAATATGAGTTTTTGTGTCAGTCTTGTACCACAGAAAGTATATTACATGTGATTACTACAATAAGAGAAAAATTGTTGGGGTTTTCTTCAATAAGTTCTATCCATATGTTGAGTGATTTGGTAAACTACTTATATAGAATTTGTTGCTTAGCATTAATAGATAAATTTGCTGAAGCTTAAGGCACGAGCTGTGAACTTTCACCAGATATGCTGAACTTTCCACTCAGTCAAATATGAGAAAACCCTAGAGCTGGTTCAAGACAGAAGGTAAGGACTTCATTAACAGAAGCTGCAACCTTGGAAATAAGAAACATCCTACCTAGAGGCGAGCAAGGGACACAGCGATGAATGGGAAGAGCTCCCAGAGCCTCATATGGGGGACAACTGGTCCAAACAGTCACATGAAGGCTGGGGAATTCATATTGTTTGAGTACAATCAACCAGGGACTTGTTCAAGGCTGCTCTTCAGAGGCACCCAGCTCCAGCTATTACACCTTAAAAAAAAGTACTTTTATAGAGGAATATATCTTTGAATTTATGAATTCAGCAGAAACCTTGAGTCAAAGCCTGCCATGGCTGCCATGTGTAGTTTCTGTATCTGGAAAGGCATGAATTTACCAGAAGAGACATCCCACCAGTGCTATCTGAAGTAATAATATGTGTCTGCAGTGTATGCTCTGCAAAATAATTTCTGGTGTGGCACTTCCATCAGGCTGGTGAATCTGCGTGTCTGATCCTGAGTCAACAAACACGTGCAGCTCAGTCTCTCATCCCTCATCTGCCTCTTTGAGGCTGTCTTTTACTCCTGCAAGGATATCTGATTATGACTCAAACATGCTTTTCTCTAGGGGTCATTCCTCTCTGGTTTTACAATTTCTACATAGACTAATTGGTTGCAAGGCAAAACAAGCACCATGACGTTTCATTGGCCATTAATAAGTACAGAGATGTTAGCAAACAGCAGGCTGAAGAGAGATCTTTTTCAGCTAAGACAGGAAGAAAATTCAAATTATTAGGGAAAAAAAATTAAAATTATCATAAAACCAATCAGTTTTATTGTAAAACCTGTAAAGCTGAAAGACTGTGAAAGGCAAAAAAACCAACACCTCCTTGAAGCTCAAAGATAGAAGCCTTTGATAATGGCATTTTTAAAACATCTCGCCTCAGTTTTGAGCATAGCTCATCTTTTTCTGACAGCTCTTTTGTCTAAGCAGAACCATTTGGGAAACCCTTTTCTCTGCTTGATAAATCTGAATCACTTTTTACCACACTTGCAAAAAGCTGATGAAAATATCCGTGTTGCTCAGGAGTAAAATGACAGCTAAAATGCTGAAAGATGACATATGTTTTGTGTTAGGCTGCCACTCAGATATATCTGACACCTCAAACATTAGATCACTTCTCTGTTTTGTGTAAGAAACCTTATGCCAACAATATTCAGCACTGTAAAGAAGCAAAAGCAGAAGGATCAGCCACAGAACTGAGCAGGCTTGTGGGTGGATAAGCAGGCATATCCACAGCCTGGGCTCCTGCTCAGGCAAGCTATGCTTTTTTGTTCATTGAGTGGAAGACAGTGCTTTTTGGACCTTTTGGCTGGAAGTAAGAACTCTCATTTCCAGTACCTATGGGTGAATGCAAGGCATGTGGTCTCCTCAAGCTGGGAGTGATGCTCTGCTAAACAGCTGGCTAAATATCTTCTGCTTTTTACATTTTCTCACTGACACTCTCAGTACATTCCTTTGCCAACACAGCTGCAAGTGCCATGTTGCCTTATGGAAACAGCTACAGATGAATGGAGGGAGAAAAGACAACCAAACCAAGACCTGTGGACAGCATATGCCAGAGAGGCACTGGCTGCTTTTCCACTGGGCTCACCACAGCTGCAGGATGGCAGCAAGGGGCAAAAGCAGAGCCGCCCTCCTGATATGTGAATATGAACAACAGACCTGCCACAAGTGCACCCAGGGTCTGAAAATACCAGGCAAGCATGTTCCTCCTGCCCCATCCCATGTGATTATTTAGTTTACATCCATGATCAGTACAACTCCACCTTCTGACCTCTGCCCTTCTCCCTGGGATTACTCCGACAAGGCAGAGCCATTTACGGCACATGGGCACCAAAGTGTGTCTGAGCATACAGTTGAGAGTAAATAATGTTCCTCTACTTCCAATGAAATGAAAATGCATTCGACCTTTTTAAAATTATAGAGTAGAACACAACAGAAATGCCATTATGAGGTTTTAGAGTTGTGTTTTAAATGTCTTATATGGAAATAATGTTTCAATATTACTAATATGAAGCATTATTGGTTCTAAGAAGCTGCAAGTCCACAGTGCTGACACTGTTCCTGTGAATTTAATGTCCACTGAGTGGGTCACTAAACAATATAATTTCAAATTGTAACAATATCTAAAATGATGGAGAAGCTTGTAATTTCAAGCTTTTAACTAGCTTCCTAGATGATCCCAGGTCAAACCAATGTTCTTCACACCAATATAGTCTGTAACTTTATTTCTTTATTAGCAAAAGTGAAATCTGCTAGAAGTTGTATATCACTCATGTTAAGTTCTTGCTAGAAACAGCAAACATGTTTTTACATACCAAATCAACCCAGTTCTATTGTAACAGCCCACCAGCTAGATCAGCTGTGGCACACACACTTTGAATAATAAACTCTCAATATTTGTTTTTCTTGATATATTTGCCCTCTAGACAACCATATAGCTGACAACCCACCATTCCTAACTATCTGCAGGCTGGCAGATGGGAGGATGCTGGATGTGGAATGTACAGAGGTATAGAAAAAGCGATAAGGCACCTTCAAGACGGTCAAAGGAAGGTCCTAAACTATCTGAGTTCCACAGCACATTTTTTAAGTACTCAGGCACAGCAAGTTCTTAGAAAATTCAGGCTGCTATCTATCTTCTGCTGTATGTTATTGGACTATTGACTCCTGAAGAGAGAGTAGAAAACCAGAGGAATTACAAAGACACAAGAGTTGGTGAGAGACAAGCTACTGGCTCTACTCATTTTTCATCTTGGAAGTTTTCTCCTTCCTCTCTCTCTCTGCCACATGCTGCACTACATTTTGATTAAAGGCTCTAACCAACTACACATTTCATAATTCTGTAAGGCACCTAGCTATTTCAGGCTATACTTCCTTTGCATTTCTGATCAGGACACTGGAAGGGATGAAGCACCGAGAGCATGTTAAGAAGCTGCTGCAGAACTGATGTAGGTGAGCCCAGAAATATCAAATGGTGCACTCCAGGCAGACATCCAGGAAATGGCATCTGCTATGGGGGACACAGGTCTTTTGATAGCACCAAATGAGTCTGTTAGTGAAGTCTCAGACATTAAAGTTCAAACCAATCAATGCTTCTGGAAACGGATGGTACGACCTGGGGGTTAGGATTTACTCACTGCACATATCTCCCTCATCTTCTCCCTCAGCACAGTCCTGGATGAAGTCACATGCCTGCCCCAGCCTGATCGCTGTTCCATTCCAGCAGCTGAAGGAACCCTCCAGAGCCATTTTTGAGAGAGAGGCAGATCCTAGAGAAAAAAAAAAAAAAAAAAAAAAAAAAACAACAAAAAAAAACAACAAAAAAAAAAACAACAAAAACACTTCAGATAACCAAATTGCCTTTCTTTCAACCAGTGGGTTACAGCATATTGCATAACACTGAAGAGACAAACACCTTGTGAAATCTTCTCAATTCAATACTTACTTGATAATTTTTTTGACCTATTTAATCTTGTCACATGTCTAATAGTCCACCTAATAGAGAATTTCAGTTCCCCAGGCCTTTCTGGTGCTGTAATATGGAAGGCAGCTTTGACCTCTGGAGGGCTTAAATCCTGCATCCTGCTCTGGTACTTATCAAGAACAACACAATACATGATAGGTTTTTAATTGTGTGTGAATTTACTGCTGCAGTGACAGTCCTGAAAGCTGATATCCTCTCTGTCTAGCTCAGCAGTAAACATGGCTACAGGATTCAGAAAGAACACAAGCTTTCATCATGCTCTTTTGGCAACATGCATTACCTTTGCTTTGGGTGAATTGTGTTGTCGTATTCTCTGCAGGAGAGAAAACAGTTCAACCTCTACTTGTAATTTTCTTTCTCTTCTATGCCTACTCCTGCTCCTGCACTCCCTTGAGTCAGGGAGCCCACAGCAGACTACATCCACCAAGAGACAGAAGGCACCAGCTCATTTTACCTGTGCTAAGCAGCAAAAGACATCCAGCAATGTGCAAAGGAGACAGCTCTTATGAAATGAGGTCATCACACATTACAATTAGAGGTCAATATCATCCACTCAGAAATGACCCTGGGCAATTTTCTCTAAGAACCATCCTTTTCTGGAGGCACTTGATTCCCTTGACAGCTGAGAAGTCAGATATCAAGTAGCCTGACCGGTATCACTTTCCTTACTGAAGGAATTCTCTCATCCCAAGTTCTTTGAGATGATACTTAGGATCATCTCAATTGATCTCATCTCAACTGATACTTAATTCAGTAACATCCTGGAGTCAGTGTGTATGGAGGAATCTAAACTTGAGAAATGCCAGAGTTCCACAAAAATCTGGAATGCAGTTCACTGACACCTTCCTGAGTGTGCCAAAACATGCTTCCAGTCACTGCTGGAAGACAAGCCTGGAAGAACAAAGAGATCTGTGCTGTGAATTCCCCACTGCAGCAATAACTGCCCTGTCTCATATTAAATGGATAAATGCTCCAGATTAAACCAAAGCTTCCGGGCAGAGCGAGCCATTGTTTGCCTAACTCATCCGTGCTCACTAAACAGTGCAGCTACATCATGTTCTCTGGTACTACAGGGAGTTGGAAATCACTGGCGATTCAATTAGATATGCACTTGATATTTTTATTTATATTGCCTGCCAAAACTAAAAATTAATGAAGCATGTAGGAAAACAACCACTATTTCTCTTCCAGCTTATTTTATGGTGCAAATCACTCACGAGTGGGGGAATACATGCCAAACTTTATTAATAAAGGATGACAGATCCTCAAAAAGGTGCTCTGTGTTATTGTCAGGTCAATTTTTTTTCCCTTCTTTAGAGCAATTCTGGCTTGCCACATACAGACTGCACAATGCCCTTGTATTCCAGTCTGGGTCAAGGCATGACTGCAGAGGAGAAGCTTTGCAGGAAAAACAGACTAAGTAACTTGGAGCTGGCTGCTGACAATTTCTGTGGGCTCCCTTGGTGAGGGTTTAAGGCAGTGAGATGGCATCTTCCTTGGCTTTGCTGAACTTCCTACAAAAAATGCACCCTCAGAGACACCGCTGAGAGCCTTCCCTCTGTGAGGTGCAAAACCCTTCATGTGCCACAAGCCAGACACTTGGGGCTCAGTTCATGTGCAAATGGACACTACAAAGCTGTGAGTCTCTTCTCACAGCTTTGTAGTGCCCATTTGCACATGAACTCAGTAGGTGATGCCTTCTCCTAGGGGTGTGCAGGGAGCCTGAATAGCACCCCGTTGTTGGAAGTACCACCCAAAGAAAAGTTAGGAGACATGTCCCAGAGCGCTTCCATGAGTCAGCAACATCATGACACTCTTAAAAGATCCTTAAGTTCTACTGAAATTCAGAAGTACTCTTATCTCTCTGAATTACCCCACAGATGGTTTTGAAGCCCATGTTTAGTACCAGCTTTCATGTCCCTCTCAGTTTATCTGCAATCTTTTCAGCAATGTCCGTGTTTTACTTCAGCAGCTGCAGAGACACACAGAGATTCAGAGGAGTGGTAATTGTAGGCAATGGGGTTGTTCTGTTTACTCAATTAATTATAACTTTTTAGAGGCACTCACTTTTCCAAGCACACAACTGCATTAACACTAATTATAATGGAACCAAGGCATTCAAGAGAACCTACTTGTCTTCCCAGGTGTTTTTTGTTGCAGCCTAGGGGCACAAATCTCCCGAAGCCAACTGACTGTAGTATTTGAAATATGTCAGTTGCAACTGGGAATCAGGCAATTCCAGGAGCTATTCCTCCAAAACAAAGCAGCAGATTTACATGCTCATTCATCTCTGTGGAGACGAGGCTTGAATTAGCTCAGATTTGCATTAGACCAATATATACGTACTCCTTGTATAGGTTAGAGAACACAAATAGCAAAGCTGCAGCCCGGGGAATGGCTGGGCTCTGTTACAGTGCATGATTTATTCCCATCTTGTTTGCTTGCTTACTGTGAGCACAAAGGCAAAATGAATTGGAGAAAGGACATGATTAACTAGTAAAACAAATAGATAACCAAAAAAAGCCCAAATACAAATAATCCTTTTAATGGGCCACTTAATGCAGATGTTTGCATCCAAGCTCAAGGAAACTCGAATTTTAATTAAAATACTTTGCAAGAAAAACAGACGTTTGATCTTTTCAGTTCCCAGACCCAATTACTCCTGGCAAAGTGAACCAGAATGACCTGGATCACTGAAGTGGCCTCAACTCACACACAGAAGATGTGTTAGGAAAGGAAAATGAATGGTATCAAATAAGTATCAGAGTAAAATTTGTGGGAGACATCCTTTATATTTACAACACTGTTTATGTAGCCAGTGGCATCCATAAATTACAGCAGTAATTAAGCTGTACCACGGCTGGCTTGGAGGCTTATAAATCATTATTTAAACAGCAGCATTAAATAAATGGCATTTCAGGCTCTAAATTGAAAGTAAAAAAGTAAAAACAACTCCTTGGGGAACAAGAGCTGACTTTGTACCTCACAGGTCCTGCTTCTCAACACAGTCCAGCCCTGGCAGTGTTCAAATCCAGTACCAGACCCTGGACTCAAATGACAGCCTGGAATCTTTACTGCCCATGCTTTTGGACTTGTTTTCCACTTCCTCTATCAGGATGGAAAGAGGAAAATCATGTGGCTTAGCTTATGCAGGATCAGCAACTTTCTGCTCGCACTGTGGGACCCAAGGGGATGTATTTCAATTCTCAACAGATTTTCTCTGACTTGGGTTTCCTCTTCTCTGCTTCCCTGTCCCTTGACCAGCAGAGAAATCACGGAATGCTGGCAAGCTCTGGTGAGTCTGTCTCTGAGGAACCTGGACAGAAAGATGGTGGTGTTTGATCACTGCAAAAGGGGAAACTTCGCCTTCCTGCCACCACACTTGCCCAGGTGGAATGGAGAAGAAATTCTTGAAGGCATCCACAAAAATATATCTTATCTGGCAAACTGGCTACGCTGCTAATTATCATGTAGGGTTTAACGAAGCTGAACATAATTATACCTTCACATGCTACATTCAACTTCTTAAACCATATTTTTTAATTCTACCAAAAGCTTTTGGGACAAACAGTCAGGTGAAGCACTCCTGCTGAGCACACATTAAAGCAAAAGAGCTCAATAGGACAGTACTTGGTTGCTGTTTAAAAATTGTCTCATTTGTACTCTGCAAAAATTCCAAAGGTCTGGAATAAATGTACAGCCTTGTCACATTTTACCAGCGAGCAGCTTCTCTCTGGGCTATCCTTGAGGAGTACATAGTTGAGTTGTACACAGTTGAGTTTATTGCAGTGGTTCTCAAGGCAAGACCCTATATGCCCACAATGTGAAAAATTTCCATTTTTAATTGCATATATGTAGCAAAAAATATCTACCCATGGAAGTCCACCATGTTTATCTAACCATATGTGTTTATCTCTCAAAACAGAAAGTTTCCTACTATTTGATTACATCTCTTAAAAATTGTTTTCAAATGGGCTAGTGCTGCAGCTTAGTGCCTCCACCAAATATCACTACAAATCTGGGACTGTACAATCTTGTTGATGATGTGTGTCTGTCACAAGTATTTGTCATTAACTTCTCAGTTTCTCCTGTCCCTCCTTTGGCTTGAGTTCAAAGCTTTCACTCAGATCTTTACAAAAACATTACTTGGGTGATTGAAAGGTTGTGTGAAAACAGAAACTGTCTAGCTATAAAAGGATAGTGAGAATTTGGGGGAGTTTCTGATTATTGATTTTTCCATGACTTGCCATTTTTGATGACCACATATTTCCTCACTCTTTATCTCCAGTCCTCCAGCAGCACAGACATTCAAAGGCTGCTGGCTCACTTTGTGCTGAGAATAGCCATATTACAGGACAGAGTAAATTTTTTGTTTATATAAGTCACTAATACCCACGCTTTCACCATTAGAGAAGTTGGAAGCTATGAAATAAAGGAGGAAAGAGAGTGAGGAAAGTGAAAGATAAATTCATGTTTGAGGGGAGCAAAGCCATCCTTGGCAAATGGCCATTGAACTCCACATGATACAGGGCAGATCACATAAATCACAACTTTCACAGCAAGCTACACTGCTCTCATTTTCCAGCCACCCACCCCAGGACACCTGTATACAGATCAGCAAGGAACCCGAGTAGTTGCAGCTGCAAATGAGACCAGTGAGAGAAATACTTGGAAACACATTGTCCTCAAAAATGCTTTGAAAAAAAGACTGGATTCCATGTTTCTCACACCAGGCAGGCAAAGTTGGTCAACACTTCATAATTCCTGTCTTTAATATTTGCAACA